CCCCCCCCCCCCCCCCCCCAATCTACTGCTGCTCTTAAGGTTTTGTATATTAAGTAAATTTTGAAACTGGCTTCAGTTAAAAACAACTACATCTTGCTTCTGAAACAATGTTTTGAGTATTGCAACAAAGTGGTGAAGGTATTGGGTTACTGCAGGCACTGCTTTCTTGCTGTGTCATTGGGATTAATCTGCCTTGAGTATATTTTCGAACCTTTATCTCCCTCCGCTGTATATATTCAGAGTATTTCTGTAGCTTGCCGTATGTTTGAACTCATTTCACTAAAGCCATTCCCACTGTTTCTGGGTATAGCAAAGAGATTTGGGCTGATAGCCAAACTGCTTCCTCAGTGTTGTTTGTTATATACAGACAATTTATTTGATTTAGTTCTATAATATTGATTGATTGATTGATTGATTTAATAGATCTTCCATGTTTGTTAATGCTGAAAGCTTAGGGCCAGATATGCTGCTAATGATGGGCATGAGTCTTGAAAAGCTACCTCAAGTGTTGAATTGGCTTTCAAATATAGCTGCTGTGCATGCTTTTAATTTTGCAACCCTTCCTTTTCTGTGCTTAGGAGGAAATGAGCAATTGCAGCCAGAAGGGCAAGAAGATCTACGAGAAGTGCTTAAGAAAACACTGGAATTCTGCTTATCTAGGTAAGTATAATGGTACTTAAAAGGATCCCTAGCTATCATCTCATACCTTTGGGATAGGTGGAATTCTTACAGGTTACCATCTCTAAAAACAAGCAAACTAAAGTGAGTGGGAAGGACAGGAATGATAGAGGAAATGGATCAGCAAAGAAATTCCAGAATGTTATGCTACTTGCATGATATCCTGTAGTTCAAATAAGATGTTATGGATGTAATACAGCAACAATTGGGTTCTGTAGATGGTGTTTATTCAGAAGGTCAGACTTAGATGATCAGTAATAATTCCTTCTAGCATTAAAGGTTGTGAATCTTTCTTAATTTTAATCCTGTTGTATTCACCACATCCCTATACACTTTCTCTATTCTGCTCTTTATTATTTAGACTTTATATTAAAACAGCCAAATAGGGTATGTTAGGTCCTCTAAGGAGAACTATGATATACTTGTCCATTCATTCCTGCCTTTCTATTTAGTTATCCCTCACTGTTTAAAAACAATGCCACCAGCTAAAAGCAGGCCTTTACCCTCACACCTTTTGTCTCACCACTTTTACTTGGTAATCCAGTGGGGAAAAGTGGAATTTTCAAGCCACTACATATTCAGGAGGAGAGAGTGTTTGCATCTTCCAGGCATGTTAATACAGTTAAGGGCTGAAATGCTTAATTGGCAGGAGTCATTCTAATCATATGACTGATGTGGAACAATGAGTATCAGATGGGTCTAATGGAAAATGAGTGAAAACGCTTAAAATGAAAATGCCCTGCAGGAATTTGCTTCTCACTAAATTTTGTATAATCTTTCATTATTATGTAGTTTGTGTGGCTTTTTAATAACCCTTTGTATCTGAGAGGAATGTTTTAATGTCAAACTGGAATAACTCCTTATTTTACTTCCCCCTCCCCAGAGAGAATCTGGCCAGTGACATGTACCTTATATCACAGATGGACAGCGATCAGTATGTGCCAATAATGACAGTAGCAAATCTTGATCATGTCAAGAAACTCAGTACTGATATGGATTTGATTGTTGAAGTGCTGAGATGTAAGTAAATAGCATGTTTTGATGGGTTTTTCTTACAAAGATATACTAAATGTTTACTGCTTAAAAACTAACGTGATGATCTGTAAGGTCCCTTCCAGCCCCTAACAACTATGAAACTGGATGAAACTATTTAATATAAGTCAACATTTTCCATTTTTCTTTAACTGTGACAGTTTTGCTTTATTACATTTGAGAACCAACCTGATTTAAGTCTGTACACTTAAAGCAACAGTCTAATTCAGATTATTTTCTTTTTGATCAAATATGTAGTGTTAGTTTCTTCCAGCAATACAAAATAATTTATTTTGCATTTTTTAAGTATTGTCCAACAGGTCCCTCTAGATGGGAATAGAAGAAGAACATAGACATTTGGTAGACCCTTATGGCTACATTATTAGAATAAAAGGAGTAAGAAACACAAAAGTGATGGATCACTACAGAAAGCGTAAACTAGGTGGCAATCTTGTTAAACTTCTGGCCTCATACTAGTTATCCAAGACATTTCTTGTTGCCTTAGATAAGGTGTCAAAGACATATTGCTGGAAAGCTTTTCAGCCTGAAATTAGAAACAACCGGATTAGATACTGACTGGATTAAGAGTACACAACATTAAAAGGTTTCCCAAATAATAGGTAGTAGGTTTCTTAATTCAGAAAGACATCTTTGGAGTATCATCCTGGCATAATCCTCTTGCAATGCATACTTCAGCTGTTTTTTCTTCTGGATTAACATATGTGACTTGGTCCCCAGTTTTCATGTGTAGACCCCCTGATTTACTGGTGATATGTCTAGTTGATGAATACTGCATTCTAGTATATCTCCTATTGGCAGTCTGCTGTCACTTTTTAAATGACTTTCAAAGCATATTTGAACATATGACAAGTTCAGAATATCTACTGATTATAATCAAGCTAGGCTGTGTGGACATACAACATTTAAATTTCAGTGACCTGAATATAATAGAGGCAACTTCATAGTTCTTAGGCTTTGGTTAACAAGAGCTGGCTGGCACTGTTCTCTGTCCTTTGGAAAAATGTACTTGCATTTCTGAACAGCAGCCTTTGGGGCCAGTTGGGTAAGCAGTATTGGCTGGCTTTAAAAGGGAGTCTCAAATTTCAGAACCAAAAGTACCACTTTTCTGTCAGTTCACAGGTGACCCATTAGTCTTGCCCCTAACTTAAAGAAGACCCCTCAACAGCTGCCTTATGAGTTTGCAGTCTAACAACATAGCTGCACTTTAAAGATCATTCAAAATCTAGTAAAATCAACATTAAAGGCCAACACTAACTTCTGGGGCTTCACATCAAAATCTCCTAGTCTGTGATAGTGTTGTATTAGGTTACAAGAACTATGAACAGAGGTCATCTGGCTGCCTTTCAAAGGCAGGGGTAACTTTTAAATGTTGTTAAGTACCAACACAGTCAAATTTCAAAGCATTAAATGAACTTTATCTAGAATATAGGCCAAACCTTGGGAATTCTTTTAGAGTACATGCTGCTTCAGTTAGTTTTCTAAAACTAAATATTTCTTTCCTTTTAGCATTGCCTTTAGTCCAAGTGGACGAGAAGGGAGAAAAAGTCAGGCCAAATCAGAATCGCTGCATTGTGATTTTACGTGAAGTACCTGAATCTACTCCCATTGAAGTAAGCAATTTTAGTTCAGTAACACCAGACTACACTTTACGTTCTTGACCTGGGAGTTGACACCGTCCAACTGTCAAAATATACCGTGTGGATCTGTACCTGCTTTTTTTTTATTGAGTTTCTAAATTGGCTTATTGGGCCCTTGGTTTACAAAGGCTGTCAGAAGGACCTCTATGTTCACTTTTTTTTTAAATGTATACTTCAAAAGATATTACAGTAAGATCTATTACACAAATGTATGTAAAGGGCAAAAATGCCCTCAGTTGGCTATGCTGAGTTGAGACCATATAGAAACACTAATAGACTCAACTGTTGGTCCTTCTCCTCTGCCACAATTTTTGTGCTTGGGGACTTGTGAGGTGATGACAGTCTCGTCACTAAGTTCGCAGAGTACTTCTCTGTAGGCCTCTTTTTTTTTTTTTTCTTTCCACTTCCTTTCTTCCTGAGACTCTTTTCACTGCTGTCCACTTTGATCAATAAGCTCCTAAGTCTCTTGTTCTGGGGTACAAATTGCAAGCGAATGAAACAGAGGAGGAAAACTTTTGAATGGTTCCACCTCCCACTAAGGTGTGGAGCTGATCCACATGAGGTACTTCATGCTTCAGCAACATTTCCAGTTTGGTTGAGGCAGTAAGCTTGATGTATGCAAGGGTATTGGAAGCAGTGATCTGAATTGAACAGGTAGTCATGGGGTATGGAGGAAGAAAACAAATGTTTTGGATTGCACGTGGAATTTCTGCATACACTGAATGCCTCTATTAGGCATAGCATTTTGAAACGGATTGGACTCGAGGGTTAGCAGGTAGACTAAAGAGAAATGATTGAACAGTAGAGGTATCCCTAACTTCTTTAGCTTGGGGACGAAGTACACGTCATCTTCATTTTCAGAGAGAAAAGTAATGTATATTGAAAGGAATGGAATTCATACTGACAGAAAAGTCCAGTTGAAAATAAGACTAGGGCACAAAATATAAAAACTTTAGGCAAAGGAAGAGGAGGGAAAACTAACATAAAATATTGAAATCTCTCGTTTAAAAAAAAATCAGTGTTCCAGTTAGTCTGTAAAGCTTTGCATATATTCCTTGTTAAGCAGACATTTTTCTTGCTGTCAGTCATTTGGAGATTACAGACATACTAGTGCTAAAGCTGCAAAGGTTTACTCTTGAGTACTCATAAAAGAGTGACTTTTTGAAATATCAGAAGCAAAGAGTTTGTCAGTGAAGTTGGTAACAACTACAGGTTTGTGCAACTGCAAGTAACTTTTCAGTTGAGTGGCTGGTGGAGCGAAGTTGACCATACTGTGGTAAACGTGCCATTGAGCCTTTGGACAAACTGGTTCTTGGATTTCATAGACTTTTTTCAGGTCACAAGGGACCTTAGTAGATCGTGTTTGACCCCCTGCCGTAGGCAGGAAAGAGTGCTGGGGTCAGATGACCCCAGCTAGGTGCTTGTCCAGTCTCCTCTTGAAGACCCCAAGGGCAGGGGAGAGCACCACCTCCCTTGGAAGCCCATTCCAGATCATGCTAAGGGTTACCAGAAAGAAGTTCTTGATGTCTAATCTCAGTCTGCTCTGTCAGTTTGTTGTTATTGTTTCTTGTTACCCCAAGTGGTGTCCTGGTAAATGGGGGTGCTCCTGTGCTGAGCCACCTACCTCACTGTGCCCAACCCACCTTCCAGACTGAGTGCCTCCCTGGGGGTGCCTCGCATCTGGCTGACCCCCTTCCTGGAGCACACCCGCTAGCCTCGGGGTAGTGCCACCACCACTCAGGGTCTGGCCTGCTTTTGGCACTGCCCCCTGGGAAACACAGGCCTAGTAGCCCTTGAGGGTACGTGGCCTCAGACTGAAGCACAAATAGTGGTCTCCCTTAGTCAGCTGAACCAAGGAGACCCCAAAGCATAATCTAGACCCTCTCCCAATAAGTCTTTCACACTAGGTACAAAGGAGAACTTTATTGGTTACAAGGAGTAGGTTTGGAATAGGGTACAGGGTAGAGCAATATCAGAGAAATACCATGGAGCAAAGAGGGTGGCTGGGTAGCCTTTGATCATGCATCTGAGTTACTGCAAGCTATATATCTAGTTCTCAGGTAGCTTACTCACAAGAATCATCCAGAGGCAGGTGGAGAATCCCTCTGGAGGCAGGCAGCTCATTGATTGTGAGTTTCAAGAGAGAGAGCAAGTTTCAGAAGGTCCAGCTTTTCTCTCTCTGCAAGTAACTTTTCAGTTGAGTGACTGGTGGAGCAAAGTTGACCATACTGTGGTAAATGTTTTTCATCATGGCTGCTGCCCCTCCTCCTGGGCAGTCCTTAACTTATATAGCCTTTATGACCTCATTTACCTGGTCCAATGGAAGCCAGCACCTGTTCACTGCCAGCCAACCAATTTGAAATGCATCACTGGTTGCTGGGCAAACTGGCAGGGTCTCTAGCCCCCTCCCAGTTAGGTTGGCATTGTTTAGAGCAACAGGGAGTGTAAGCCCCTCACTCAGGTATGTGATGCCAGTCACATAGGTAGAGGGAGCAGGTTTCCCCCCTCCCTCAAGAATGTATCCAACTCTGGTTACCTAAAGAGATGAGATGTCTGCCCTCTGCAGGGCCCATATTAACCAAATTGTCACAGAGCAGAGTTTCTGGGGAGAGACAGAGGTAGCCTTCTGACGCACGGAGCATCTCCTATTCCTTGCTGCCCCCAATGAATTTGTAGACGGCCACAAGATCACCTCTTAGCCTTTTTTTGCAGAGGCTGAAGAGATCCAGGTCCTTCAATCTCTCCCCGTAGGGCCTTACCTGCAAGCCCCTAACCATATGAGTAGCCTTCCTCTGGACCCTCTCAAAGTTATGCACATCCTTCTTGAAGTGCAGCGCCCAAAACTGGATGCAGTACTCCACCTGCTGCCTTAGCAATACTGCGTAAAGGGGAAGTATCACTTCCTTGGACCTGTTCTTGATGCACCTGCTAATGCATGATAGAGTTCAGTTAGCTTTGCTTGTCGCTTTGTCACATTGACAACTCATGTTCATCTTGGTGTCTGCTGTGACTCCGAGATCGCTTTCTGCCCCTGTATTACGTAGAAGTAATCTCCCAATCTATGTGTGTTGGTGATTCTTTCTCCCTAGGTTCAGCACTTTGCACCTAACTTGGTTAAACTGCATCCTATTCTGTTCTACCCACTTTTCCAACCTGTCCAAATCTGCCTGAATCCGTTCCCTGGCCACCCGTGTGTTTTCTTTGCCCATAATTCAGAGTCGTCCACAAATTTGGACAGGGTGCTCTCCACGCCCTCATCCAAGTCACAGATAAAGATATTGAACAGCATTGGGTCCAAGGACCAAAACTTGGGGGGACCCCACTGCCCACATCTTTCCGGGTCGATACCGATCTGTCCACCAACACTCTCTGGGTACATCCCATAAGCCAATTTGCCACCCACTGAACCATATAATCATCTATGTCACAGCTGCTTAGTTTGTTTATAAGAATGGGATGACACTCTATCGAAGGCCTTTTGAAAATCCAAGTAGATGACGTCTACCTTGACTCCTGCATCTAAGCTTTTTGTGACCTGGTTGGAAAAAGAAACAAGGTTAGTCAGGCAGGGTCTACCTGCTATGAATCCATGCTGGGATGCTTGATGCTACTGGTTTAGCTTCTCGGTCTGTAAAACAAAGTGGAAATTCTTTACTTCAGGGGAAATTCATGTAAGTAATTTTGGAAAGGGTTACAAGAGGCAAAGATTTTTTTTTTTTTTGTGGTATCTTTTATTAGCCCACCTGTGTAGGTGCAAGAGCTGTTGGACCAGCTTCAGGCATCAAGAGCCCTTTGAAAAGAGTTTTAACTTTTTTCTGCAAGCATGTTTGTTATTTTTGAGGCAATATAAATCCGGACATTCTCAAACAAAGTCCATCTAAATAGCTTGTCCCTCCTGTGTTAAAACAGTACCAAAAAAGCAGAATCTTATGTGTATGGCTGTGAGAGTCTAATGTTACATCTCCCTGTTAATATATTAAGATGACCTATGACAGCAAGCATTACTGCAGGTATTTTTTAATCTCTGTTTCCTACTCTTGCAAATTGATGAGCATGTTATTTTCTCTTCAGGAGTCCTGCACTCAAAGTTCAGTACTTCACAATGACTTCTGTTTTTACTGACCTGTTTCCCCCAACCTCTTCTTAGGAAGTAGAAGCACTCTTCAAGGGAGATAACTTGCCTAAGTTTATCAACTGTGAGTTTGCCTATAATGACAATTGGTTTATTACATTTGAGTCGGAAGCTGATGCGCAACAGGTAAGGACTTGTAAAATATCAATGTGCAACTATTATTCAGCATTTTACATTGTTTAAAAAGGTTCAGGGAAACAAAGGTATGGGAGAAAAATCAGTTTGTCCATAGGCTGTATTTCTGTGGACATGTCAAGGAAATAGAGTTGTCTTCCCAGTTATTAGTTATAATAGTTTGAGTTTTAGCTAAATGTTAAAATATATTCTGCATGCAGAAAGTGGCTTCATTTCAGAAACTGCGTTACTACTGAAAATGTTCATGCTCTGAAGCGCATCTTGAGGAGTCATCCTATCTTACCAATTAAAATTGTGGTGTAAAATCATTAAAGCTCTTTTGTGATGATAGAAATTAAGTTTAACTTCCATTTACTGTGTTTATCTAGTAGTTAACTCAAATTAGTGTTAGCAGTACTTGAACTATTGCTGAATTAAACTCACCAAAACTTCAGTGCATGTTTTCTCTTAAATCATTAAATATCCAGTATTAAAATTTAAAATTTTTTTTTATAAGGCTTACAGATACCTTAGAGAAGAAGTGAAAACTTTCCAAGGAAAACCAATTAAGGTAATTTAAAGCTATTGGTGCTGAATTTATTTACTGTTAAGACGACAAATTGATGTACTTAAATAATCTAATCTGCTTTTCAGGCAAGAATAAAAGCAAAGGCAATAGCTATAAACACATTTTTGCCAAAGAATGGATATAGACCTCTGGATATGAACCTCTACACACAACAGCGTTACACAACATCCTTTTATATACCTCCAGTATACAGTCCCCAACAGCAATTTCCATTGTACAGCTTAATTACCCCACAGACCTGGTCAACTACGCACAGCTACCTGGATCCATCATTGGTAAGTCTTGTGGAGCCTGAGAAGAGTTTGCCCTTGAAGGAATTACATAGCATTTCAGTTCAGAGGACTGGAGGTACTGTCAGAATCAGTTTTGCTCTTCAGAATCAAAAAGGGGTTCTCAGGTTGTTTCTTCTTATTTAATTAGAAGTGGCAGCTATTTTATTCTAGGGATTATACATTGAAGAACTCTTTTATTGGAGAATATTTTTCCAAAAGTGGTCTTAATAGCTTGTGTGCGTGCATGTAAAACTCAACTTCACTCATGTGCTGAATGCACTTACCAGTATTTGAGAGGAGATAATGATGGATGTTATTCTTGAAAGAAAAAGGATTTTGCTATTAAAGTGTGGGGTGGCCCCATTCAGCATATACTGATTTGGACTTATTTAGTGCAAAGTATTTTTTTTTTTTTTTTTAAAGAAAAACTTTGCATCTCAGGTTTTACTTCAATATTTGCATCTTTTACATTGCTGACAAACAGTTGTTCAGCTGATTTAAAAGGTGACCTGCTTTCTGTATTGTATGATGGTCGCTGTTCTGCTTTTCTTTGTCTGTGTGACACTCATTTGCTAGCGTAGTTTTTGTGCGCTCTAGTGGAGTGGAAATGCTGTTGTTTTAGAGGAAACGGGATGAGATTCTTACATGTGGGAACACTTCCCAGCAGATCTGTTGTTACTTGAGATTAGAAGAAACTAGGGTAGCAGTACTCAAAATGAGAGATTTTTGGCAAGGGATTAAAGTGTCCTTGAACCAACTTTATGTGCATTGTAAGGCAAGATCATTTAAAAAGTTGGTGTGCTAAACGTACTTGCATCTAGGGAAGGCAGCCAGGTACTTTGCTGTTGCTGCTAAAGCATGTTTGGGAGGAGGGGCAGGGGGTAGAAAATAGGGAGGAGATGTATTTTTTTTTTTTTACGCTGGGTCAGCCCAGGAGGTTACTGTTCTCATTACAGTCAGCTAAAAATGAATTTGAATTTGTCATGTGAACTAAGGGCTTAAAGGACTCCCCTTACTAAAAAGCTATGAACAGTTGGGCAGGAGCTCATTAAATAGTCATCCCCTCACAAATGGATTACCTTCATTTATTGGACCCACAGGCTTGAAAATGGTCAAGGTAGTTGCTCTGCTTTCATTATTCTTGGATGCACAGCTCTATAAAGTTGGCTTTTTGGAATAATGCTACAAAAACCCTAATGCCACATCTCAGAAAGATGCATCACACTTTGTGAAATGCTATAATTAAGTCATCTTGTAATTCTCTGCATTTAGATAGGGGAAGAAAATCACCGTTAATTGCAGTTAATATATGCGATTAATGCTGAACAAATTAGTGCATACATTTTTGTAATGCGCCTTAATCACACGCATCCATTTTGACCGGGGTGGGCAAACTATGGCCTGTCCCGCACCTCTCCAGACTTGGCCTGGTGGAGTGGGCCAGCTCCAGACCAGCCAGAACCCGTGCTCACAGCCCTGATCCTGGCCCACCCCACACCTGCTCCAGACCACACTGAGCAGTGGCAGCAACTGGGCAGAAGCTGCTGCTTGGCACCAGGGAAAAGCGGCCCCTCCCCCTTGCTGCTGTGAGGCCCTTGTTGCAGGCGCCCTGGAGCCTGTGCTCGGGCTGCCTTGTGGCTCATCTCCACCACTGTCGCTGCTGCTTCTGGGCCACCCAGTGGGGGCAGTGGCAGCGCAGAGGAGCTGCAGGGCATCCTGGGCACTGGTGCTGAGCAACTGCAGAAAGAAGCACCCAGCAGTGGCAAAGGGGAGGGGATATTTGTCCCCCACACTGAGCAGCAGCTTCTCCCTGGCCGTTGCCACTGCTTGATGTAGATGGGCTGTTTGCACGGGTTCGGGCTGGTCTGGTCCGGCCGGCGCAATTCTGGAACCGGGCGCGGGGTGGGCCAGGGCTGGGGCTGTGCGCTGTTGGTGATGGCAAGGGAAGAGCTGCAGGGTACATGGGCTCCAGGCTGTTGCAGGTTGGGGGATGCTGACTTTTGTTTAACTGTGTGCAATCAAAATCATGATTAATTGCAACTATTTTTTTTAATCTCGCCAATTAATTGTGATTTTTTTTCGATAGTTTATCAGCCCTAGCAAAATTATTATGGAGGGCTTAGGAAGTGTAGGAAGGGTAGCTGAAATTGGGGTACTTGCTTTAAGTAGGTTATCATTGGAAATGTATAACACTTTTTTTAAAATATAAAACAATGGTTTTAATTAAATACTCTCTGCTAAGGGCTTTTCCAAAGGAAGGGAACTGCTCACTTAGTTTCCCTTAAAGAATGGTTTGAAATAATCTAGATATCTCAAGCTTGCCTCTTGTTCAAAGCAAGTTCAATGCAGTAAGATTGTCAACGTCATTTTCTGATTTCTTTATGGAGTAGTGCTTGGATGACATGTTTTGCAAGCATTTCAGAGCAAGTCTTTTCACTGAAAATGTACCCCCAAATAGACTATATTTAAACTAGTGGTTCTTGACCTTTTTTTAGATTTATAGCACCCCTCAGAAAATGCCAGCTCTTAGTTTTCATTCATTTTTTGACTCCAGAAAAATAATAAAGCAAATCTGTCACAAGGAATTCAGACCACAGAAGGTCAGACTGATGTTAACACTATAGATAGCTATTTGAAATTTCTGTGAATTATGCTTGCACACCAAAGAGTGCTAATATTGCATGGCACCCCACAGCACCCTGGAAAGGATCTCGGGGCACTCCGGAGTGACACAGCATACTGGTTCAGATTCACCGGTTTATATTTTTAAGGAGCTAATTCTGAATCCCAGTCTACTGGACTCTGACCCCTTGATTTGTGCTGACATTGCCTGAAATGTCACCTGAAGAAGACTGGTGACTGCTTGTCTGTGCGATTTTTTTTTTTTTTTTTTTTTTTT